GTCGGCAGGTGGGGCGGCGTATTAGGAGCTGAGCTGCCCTCCAGTCGCTTTGGAAGGGGACAGTGCCAATGGCCAATGCTCAGGATGTCGGCCAGTTGGCGATGCACCAGGAGGTCGGCATAACGCCGAATGGGGGAGGTGAAATGGGTGTATAGGGGAATATTGAGACCAAAATGGTGGGAGAATTGGAGAAGAGAGGACTCTAGGGTGTCAAACGACGACGACGGGGAGGCCTCGGACTCGGAAGCCATACGTTTTGCGGACCGCAGGGCACGTTCAACCAGATCTTCTACACTGAAGTAGAGCGCCATCTAGGAAGATACAACTAGTGAGGTCAGCAGCTGAGGGAACATGTACATCGGTTGAGACCTCGATGTATACTAAAGTAACATGAATAGCCAAACCACCTGAAAGGGTTGCATGACTATGTTCCGCCTACAAAACGGGTTGTGCAACGATTATTCAAAATTGACCAACTAACTCAGCTTTCCTTCGGATTGCGGGAGAGGCTACAATATTTCCTACTTTATGTGTTTTTTGTGGGGCTTCCACTCGTGTTTGGCCCGAGACTCCCGTGCGAAACCACAATCGTGCAGAAATGAGTGATGTGGTCGTACGCGGCATAAGTAGATGGGCTTCGCTAAACACTGCATTCATGCCTAATCTTGATTTTGGTTCGACAATCGAATCAGCGGGATACGCAAATTCAAACACAAGTCTTCACTGGGACCTCGAAAAAACAGTTACCGACATCATCTGCAATGAACAAGCTTAGCTGACACTTGGCAAAACTGAACACCCGTTTGCTTGAGGATACATGCGTACATTGTATCAGGCGTCCTTGTTATCTATATTCGAAGCAAAAGTACCGTGAAAAATAGGTTACATATGTTGACTGAAATCTCTCTCCAATGTAGCCCTATTCTTCAGCGGAAGCTCTCCTAGGAAGAAGAGCGGCGAGGGCTTTAAAATTCACTGCCCGTTTCCTCGAATGAAAATGGGCAAGACAGCGACCAAGGCGCAGGAGTTAGGGACACTTCACCAAAGGAATCAGACAACGTACAGTGACAACGACCACCTATAATCTTAGCCAAAATTGCGTAAGCAGAGGAACTGCGGACTTAATTTGAAAGGTACTATGCTGAAAATTCAGGCCAACACCTTTAGCAGATGTGGTTGGTTAAAGTCTCCACAGAGAACTGCCGTGAGCTAGTTTCGTATCTGTTTTCCGGAAGAAAAAAAAGGATACCAGACGGGCTGTTAGGAGTTTAGAGGCAAATATATGAGAAAGCAAGAGGATAAATGTTCAATGTCTTGGATTGGGTTAACAAGGTCTGTTTAGAAATTCGGGTCTGTCTATAATGATGCAGTTAGAGAGGCGTGCAACGTAAACAGCAGAAAAGGAGACCTGAGTACGGAGTTTGGAAAGTTTAGAGCATGGGTCCCAATTCAGTTACTAGGAATGGTAAATCCAACGAGCAACATGTCTATGGGGCCTGTAGTTGATGGCGGTAATTCCGAAATGACAATACTGCCCTCTCTGTCTTTGCGGTCACTAAACATAACACATGTGTGCCACAAATACGTTATATGTCCATTACTTAAAAATGATTGCCAAGGATGGACACCGACGGGACGAAGTGCCTGTCGTGATGTATGCTCTCTCTCTCGCCTGCAACCAATCAAATGAAGCGGAAGTATCGATTGACTTCAAGCTGACACTTATCAGGTGTTCAGCGAAAATTCCCATTTCTACGATTGAAAAGTCATGTTGGCAAACGAT